ATTTAAAATGTTGTCGACGCGGAATCCATAAAAAGAGGACGGACGAACAGAAATTATTCCTCTTCATAGTGTATAACTTCGCCTTTTCTTAAAACTGACATAAGGAAAAAAATTGCATGATTTCAAAACGAGAATAACACTCACCAGAAAGCCTACGTCATGCAATCACCGTTTTACGACATTTACCCGCAAGTAGAAATGTGGTTTTAATGAGGTTCCGCTACATTATAATGTTAGATCCTTTACTTGATTGAAATAAAATCAGCGCAATTTTGCGGGAATATCTTCCTCAAGCAGCAATTACCAACAAGCTCAAGGAAATCTTCCTGCTACCAGTCTTATTTATAGAAATCCAGTTGTTGCTGATCGTGCGGATGTATGTCAGAGGGAATAATTTTTTCTTAAATTGCTAGTTACAATTTTTACCTATACCATCTGGGATGGTAATGAAGGTTAAAAAAGAAAAAAAAAAACAGGCCTCATATTAGAACCAGATGTACCTTTTAAACACAACTCGGAAATTGTTTTCGTCTCCTAAAAAGGACGGAAACTACAGAAGAACGGCCGCATAATACAAGTGGCACCCGGATAATAATTGAATCATTAATTAAGCATCTTTTATTTCCTATACGGTAATTTCCATTTATTCTTATTGAGTGCTTATTAAAGCATTTGTACGCCTCCTTAAAGGGCGGTTAACTGAGCACAATAGGAAACCATCTGTACTGACGCGGCAATCGGCCTGGCAAAATAAAAGAACGATATAGTTTAAAGTTTGATTAAAGAAGCATATTGGCCAAACCACTTATTGCTACGAAACTGGGTAAGTACAAGCCACTTAGAGAAATAACGCTTACTTAAAACCACACTAAGAGTTTATTGAAGCTCTCTATCTCTACATGGAAGTTTTTAAAGGAAATAGCAAAGTTCCTGTTTCGCAAAACATGTTGTTTTCTAAGATAAAGTGAACAAAATATGGTTTTTTTATCCCCGTTAATCTGCCATAGACGTTGGATAAGTCTAAACATGTTCTTTTCTAAGATATAGTAAACAAAACTA